TCCTGTTCCTTAAGTGGTGAATATGTATGGCACCAATGATACTATTTTTACTTTATTTTAATGAGTAGTAAAAGTATATTAATCCAGTTTACAAATGAAGGACCACTAAATGACTGCCAGGAAGTTGCACTACATATATGTCTATATATAGGTAGATGTCATATGTATGTATGTGTATACATATGTATACACACATTAATATGTATTCTATAAATAGAAGGATACTCTAAAGTGGTAGAATTATTGCTTCAGACATAAAGCCTTCCTTTAGGGTACCTAATTATACCTGTTCTCTCTGTCTCTCAACTTACTAAAGTACCACTGACGTTTTTGGAGGCAAGTGAGGAGGATAAAAGACCAGGGAGGTTTTAGGCAGGGCAGAACTGTAGGTTCAGACAGCACACAAAGCCAGAGAGGCCGGAGGGTCAGCCCCAGTAGCAGAACTGATTTTGACTCTTAAGAGAGTCTTTTCACCCTCTGCTTGGCTTTTATTTTGTACCACCTGCTGAGAGCCCTGATCCCACAAGGACAGGGGAAACAGAGAAAGAAGGAGAAGGCAGCAATGAGTGACTCTTGCCTGTGAGGCCAAGGGGCAAGATTGCTTCACTCAGCGTCATCTGCTGTTTTAGACATGGCGGCCTTGCTTTAAGCTGTGAATGGAAAACATTGCAAAACCCGAGAATTATTTCTCCTAAATATATTTCTCTCAATATTATTTTTCCTTCTTTTCTTTCCCTCTGTTTTCTTCAACTAGGAATTGAGCTGGATGAAGATGGGTCTCTGGATGGAAACAGTGATTTAACAATTAGAGGACGCCTGCTGTCCTTGGTGGAAAAGGTGACATACCTGAAGAAGAAGCAAGCCGAAAAGCCAGTTGAGAGTGCCGCCAAGAAGTCGTGTAAGCTATGAAGGGCACTGCCAAAGTGACCTGCCGCAGACAGCAGTTTATCATTTGAACGAGTATTGTACTAGATGAGCCAGTGAGAAAACTGAGAGATGAGCCAGTGAAAAAACTGAGTTTGCAGCTTCTAAGAATCAGACTCTTAGGGAGAGGCCTATAGCCACCAGAAGGAGACAGTGTCAGACTGTAGGAGCAGGCTGAGGGATGGCTGCATTGGAAGGGTGGACGGGCCCCGAGAGAACTAAAACTTTAGGTACTGGATCAGAGTCTGTCAGGAGAAAGCATGAAGCGAGTGACTGAGCCTTCATGTCTAAATGTTATGCTCTTGATTTTCAAATGTTCTTGCGATCAAGTTAAACCTTCTCTAAAGATTTAGATATTGTCTGTAACTATATTTTGGTTGTGGAACATTTTCTCAAGTCTTAAGCATTTCTGATTCATCTATGTCCTGTTTAACTGAAAGGTAACAGTTGATACTCTGAAACCAAATAAGCACACAGAGGCGCTGGGCCTCTCAGACAGCGCACTTCTCCAGAGGGGCCCCGAAGTAGGTCTGGAGGCCAGCTGACTTCCTGTCTCACTTCTGAGACTCTGTTCATTCAAGATGCAGTGTTGGTTTATTAACAGCTTTTAATGAAAGAAAAAAAATAAACTCACAAACATTTTGTGGGTTTTTTCCCACTTACTTACAGTTACTTCTAAGCTAATTCTTCAGTATCACAACCAAATTTGAGTCAGATCTTCTCCACAACCAGAGTTCAAACTTTCTTGTGAATCACTTTTTACCATGATCAGGTTTATGATTTTGACCTATTGAAAATGACTACATGGCTTTGAGACATGTGGAAGTATATTGACATCTTATCTAAATTTTGTATTTGGTTAAAACTGGTAGTTTTTATTTTTCCTTTAATAATGTATAGATTAAAACAGGTTGAACAGCTCCTTTCGGAAATCAGCCAGTGTATTAGTGACAGGAATGAAGCCTCTGGGCCCGTCACCCCGTCACCCTGCTTAGCTGTGATAACTTTACCTTGTGTTTTATGAGGTTTGGAAGTTTTGTTGCTTTTAAGCGTACTGCAGTGTACACTGCGTGTCATGTTGCTAGCCATCGCCTGTGTCTGGGATAACTTTCCAGCTTAATACCGCTTCACAGTCAGATCCTTTTGAGGTCATTTAAGTGACAGTTAGGGGTCCAAATTGAAGTAAAAATATAATTTCCTGAAGTCACTGCTACAGATGACTCAGATGAGGAGACAGTTGGATAAAGAGATGGCCCCTTGAGTGCCTATCCCGTGGCTGACCTTCATAAGGGTGAATTATGTCAGATCTCCTGGGACGAAAATAAGGGAACAAAGTAAGTAAAAGTAAAAGGAGCAGGACAGCTCGCCGATTGCCCTCTGGACTGCCAGCGGTAGTTTTGCAGAAGTGGCTACAATTTTGAAGCAGCCTAAATTCCTTAATTATAACAATTGTTTTTAGATAAAAGTTTGCTTATTTTTATCCTTGCACGTCTATAACTCATCTTCTTTTGACAAACAAAAGTTTAAATGAAGGTTTTTGTGTTTTTTTCCCAAAAATTACCCCTAGTCTTTTCAGTTCCAGTGCAAACATAGAGACCAGTTTGGAGGTCTGAGATGGGCATTCGAAATGCCCAACTGCTTTATCCTGTTATTTCCTTTTTAAAGAAGTGTCCGTGATTCCTTTGCAGCCACTCTGCAGCAGCTGATATCCGAGACCATGGTCCGCTGGGCCCAAGAGTCTGTCATTGAAGACCCTGAGCTGGTGAGGGCCATGTTTGTGCTGCTCCACCGACAGTATGACGGCATTGGGGGTCTGGTTCGTGCTCTGCCCAAGACCTACACTATCAACAGTGTTTCCGTCGAGGACACCATCAACCTGCTGGCATCTCTTGGTCAGATTCGCTCTCTGCTGAGCGTGAGAATGGGAAAAGAAGAAGAGAAGCTCATGATCCGTGGATTGGGGTAAGTTGTTTACCGGTTGCAACCACTGCCTTCTAAGTGTCTCCTCTCTGATGATTTGTCCCTGTGACAGTTAGGGGCGTTAGCACAGATACACGGTCTAGACTGTATGGTCATTCAATTAGGTTGTCGTTTTTCTAGAGATTATGCTTTAAAGCTAAATAGGAAAATGGCTCAATAACAAAACTTGACTGATACTACAGTTAGGTGCTAAGGTGGCTATGATTCACAGCAAATGTCTTAGATTTTGTTTTTTAAATTAATTTCTCAGTAATGTGCGATCACGTATAAAAATACAGATGAATAAAAACACATGAAAATTCATGGGGGGACAAACATTCACCAGCAGGAAATAATAAGGAAATTTGTCTGTATCTCCTGGGCCTTGAGAAGAGAATGGGGGAAAAAACAACTGTTCTGAGAGTTCAGCATCCGAGGCTGTGGTTCTAGGGGATTTCACAGCTAACATTTATGCCTCCTACATCGTCTAAGGATCCCCAATCTGAGAAATTAACATATCCTTTGGCCTGGAGGTATGCTTTCTCAACTCAAGTCACTGAATCCTTGCAGGAAAAACCTACATGCTACCCCAAGATCAGCCCACAGTCAACAATTGCAGAGCACGTAAGGAAACAATCCACCCTAGGCAAAGGTCTGCGGGTCCAATAAACAGTGGACTTAGAACACCTCCCCCAAGGATATAAACAGGATGCCAGAGGGAGAACATAAAGTTGCTGTACTTAAAGTGTTTAAAAATACAAAGGAATAAATCAAATCCCCAAAAATAAGACACGCAAAAAGTCCATTAGGATTTGAAAAATATCCAGATAGTAGTTCCAGAAATGAAAAATATAATCATTGACATTAAAAGCAGTGAATGCATTGGAGTATAGCTAGATAATGCTGAGGAGAGTAACAGACTGAAGCCCGGGTCTGAGGAAGTAGTGACGGGGCCCTGAGAGGGAAGGAGGTCGGGGGCCTGGTCGCCGGCCTGAGAAGGGCCAGCGGATGACGGAGTAGCTGACCTACAGAATGGGGGCTTTGAAGAGCAATTGGCTTGAGTTTTTCAGAACTGAAGAAAAACATGAATTCATAGATTCCTAAAAACAGTTTCATATCACCACTGGATATACTGTATTGAAACTGCATAAAACCAAGGATAAATAGAATGTTTTGAAAGCAGGTAGAGACAGAAGCCAGCATACTTGCAAAGAAGCAACATTAATTCTCAGCAGCAGAACTAGAGATCGTAACTCAGAGCTGTCACAGAGTTCTAACAGGAAATGCCCGTCAATTCCGAACATGTTACTCAGCTGAGATTTCAGTGAAATGAGCTTCTGCTTTATGTGGGTTTGAATATTGGAGTTTATATCCTGTATTCAAGAGTGAGGGCAAAGCGAAGATACTTCAGCATGTTAATTTACAGTGTCTCACAGAAAGACCTTCTAAAGGCTGTACATTCAGAAAAAGAAAATGGAATTCAAAAGAATGGGAGTGGTTAGTTTTAGTGAGTATATTACTGGTGCATATATGCGTGTACCTAAGCAATCATTAACCAGCTTTCACGATCGGGGGATATGAAAACATGAGGGAATTAATATACCAGAGAAATATTAAAGCTTAAATTAGGCTACATGATATTTGTAAGAAAAAAATACCTAAACATAAGGATGTAAAAATTTGAAATGTAGAATGTTGAAAAGTGATTTAAAGGAGAAATACTCAGCTCCCCCACAGAAGCTAATCTAGTTAAATAAATAACAGATAAAAGAGGAGACAATGAAGATAACATAGATAAAATAAAATACAAAGAAACCATAAAAAGGGTTGAAGAAACCCAGAGTCCAGAGTTGGTTCTTTGAAAAACAATTCAGTGTTTTCTTTGGCAAAAGAAAATCTGAGACGAAAAAAGCAAAGCATTTAAAGACTCAGATTGTGTGATATCGTTTATGCATATTTTAAATTCAGAACACAATACTACGTATTGTCCGTGGGCCTGTTATGTATTTGAAACCATACAAATAAGCTGGAAGGTTATATTCCAAGCATCATCGCAGTGATTGCACAGTAAAAACCAGCATGCTGACGGGACGGAGAGGGAGAGCAGAAAGCCTGCACAGACAGCAGCGCTCGCTTTGTGTCCTTCACTTAATTGTCTCGGCGTGAGCCTGGTTCTGGAATACCAGCTCTTAACTCTAACCCGAGGAGGGCTCTCATGAGGAGTGATCTTACTTAGTCAAACGAGAAAGGAAGGCTTCCGGGAGATGGGGAGCGCTTTCCTTCTTAAATGACCGTACAACAGTAATACATGCTGCTGACATCTAAACTGCACAGTGGGGGTGAAACTCAAGTGATTATGAAACAAGATCAGATGTTACTTTTTTGTGGTGTTAGAAATGTCCCCAAATGACACATTTAGTAAGTGACAGCCTGCCTATGGTTGGTAGAATTATAAATCCACTTAACTGACCTAGAACTAAAGGCAAACGAGATTTTTCAATTAAATGCTTTCCAAAGTTAGGTCATGCAAAAGGATTTGCATTAACGGGAGAATAAATCTCATGATTACATCTGTGGTTTGAGAGTTGGAGGTCCTCTTGCTGAACATGCTGCTGTCTGACATGAACCAGAGGACGTCTTTCTTTACCTTCTCTGTCCTTGCATGAAGTAGATGAGACCTGTATTAGCCCTGGGCCCCCATGTCATTTTTCTGAGTTGTGCTACGTGAAAGCTCTCTTCGTTACTACAGAACCAAACCGAACTAAATTAAAAGTGGAAAGTTAAAAATTTAAACTAAATTAAAACTAAAAAAAGAGAAGAAAAAATTATACAAGAATCACATTCCACTTTCTTGATATAGCTGGAGCAAGTAAAAGTTAGCATATGACTGAATGAATAGGTGAGTGACTCAAGGTAGTCAGATCCAAAGAGGAAGTCTCAGGTTTCTTGCAGGTTTTACATTATTGTTGTGCTATGGTTCTGCATGGTTTGCTAAAATAAAAATCCACAGAGCTCTTTATTTGCAATGACTGCTAAATATTAAGATCCTTATTTGGGGATGGGGGGTATAGCTTGGTGGTAGAGTGTGTGCTTGGCTTGCATGAGGTCCTGGGTTCAATCCTCAGTGCCTTCGTTAAGGGGGAAAAATTAAAACAATGATAAAACCACGACCAACTAAAAATCTTTTCTAAAAAAATCTTTAGGAGTACTTTTACATACATGTGATAATATGTAATGCAATAGTAATAATATAAAACACTCTGGGTATCATCTGCTGCTGTTTCTTAAAATTAAATGTTCAGTTTAATGCGTTGGATGACTTGTACCTGGACTTCATATGTATTCAATTCCTCTTGAAGAATATGTATCCTTTAAAAGCATTTCACCAGAATGATAACCTAAATGTAGCAGGAAATAACACTACTATTATTAAATATACAAATAATGACTATTGTACTAAAACAGCATATATGAAAAGCAGAGATACTGATACAACAATTATTTATATAGGAATTTTCATAAAAACATGGTATAACACTGCTTCATATTTCTATACAAAATAAGGTTGAACAAAATAAGGTAGAATTTTAATATCCATAAAATTAGGAATGATGTGTCCAAAACTCTATTTCATAAAAGTGAATGTTTACATATTTAGTGTATTTCTTACAATTGAAAAGAATAGACAACTTGTATACTATTTTTGGCTGTCAGTATTTCTGAGGAAAACTCAATTGTGCTTATTAACTTTTATGGCATAACTCTTGACTGCTCTTACTTTCCCATACATGCCAGTAATTATTTCCAGAAGATTCATCATGATCTCAGACAAATTCTTATTTAAATTTTCCTCTGGCTTCTGTGTCCCACTCATACCTGTGCTGTCCTTTCTAGGGATATCATGAATAATAAAGTATTCTACCAGCACCCTAATCTCATGAGGGCGCTTGGGATGCACGAGACAGTGATGGAGGTCATGGTGAACGTCCTTGGAGGTGGAGAGTCCAAGGTAAGGGAGGCCCTTCGACTCTTGGGATGCTGTTTATTGTAACTTTCTGGAGCAAATGCATTGCATGTTCTTAATGAGAATTTCTTAAATCCTCATAGGACTATGTTTTAAAGAACACCTTTTAAAAAAAAAACAAATAAAATCTTACAGATTGAGAGCTGGAAATGTTTCTGCAGTCATCCACCAGTATCCACAGGAGGCTGGGTGCAGATCTTCCTGCAGAAACTGAAATCCGAGGATGCTCAAGTCCCTTAGATAAAATGGCGGAGTATTTGCATATAACCTATGCACACCCTCCCATACACTTTAAATCGTCACTAGACCACTTATGATGCCTAATACAATGTGAATGCTCTGTAAACTGTTGCTGGCACATAGTGAATCCAGGTTTTGCTTTTTAAAAGTTTCTGCAATTGTTGTTTTTTTGTTGAATCTGCAGATGTGGCACCCACAGATACAGAGGACTGACTGTTTTTTTCTTTGATACTGATAACAGTTTTTCTTATGCCATGAAATTTGCTATCTCCTAAATTATTTATATTTAGCGGATGTTGAGAAACTTTTAAAGTTAATACTATGCTAATTTTGTAAAATTTTGAATTATAAATCCACTTCCATCATATTAGAAGTCCTTAACACAAACAATGCCCCTCAGATCTAAACACTCTCTTGTTTCAGACAACAGTTGGTTCTGCTAAATTCTTGATCCAGACCAAGATTTTAAGGAGATGCTCTATAGTATTTATTGTAAGAGTCTAAAGTGAATTTTTAAGTGATTAAAATTTAAAATAAAGTTCTTCAAGACCAGATGAATAGAGTAATATAACAAATAACTTCATGTAAAACAGTATAATTTCATGACCTCTTATTTTCAAAATGTTTCCCTTTCTTTGGGAAATTTTTAAATATATTTTTCAAAACAGAAATGAGTCCATATTTCTCATGTTCAGTTTACCAGTGAGACTTACAAAGATATTTATAAACTATTCTGTTTAAGAAGGACTTGGAGTCCTTGGGGATCGTCTGCGACATACTCGGATAAGATTTGGGTCTCAGGGAAGTTGTGTTTGGTGGGGCCACCAGGCAGACCTTCCGGTGAGGG